CATGACTGAACATATAATTACCCGCATTTAATCACAGGTAATATTATACCTCACTCATACTACTATCATTACTACTATTATAAACTTGAAAGAAAAATAATGAAAAAAAAGATATCTAATGTAAAAAACAATAAAAATTAAAAATCAAATTTTTAACTTTATTAATTTATTCATTGATTTAAAATTTTTGAAATGGCAGATATCACGAATGAAATTTTAATACAATTTATTTCTTTAAAAACTTCGAATCGGAATTAATAAAAATTAATATGATTCAAAAATATTCTATTGAAAATGGAATGAAATCTCGATAATCTCGTATTATTCAAAATCTCGATTCGATTTCGACTTTCGGATCTATTTGGCAATAATCGAATATCATTAGTTTAAAAACTTCAGAACTTTTAAAGCTTTAACCAATAATTGTTAACTCTCAATTGTCGGATCGATCCGAAATCGATTTTGAACCAAATCAGAAATTTTAGAATCTAATTTAATCGAAGAGATTTAAAATATCAAAACTTAACCTAACTAAATTCAAAAAGAAAGATTCAAGATTGAATCTTGAAACTTAACCTAACAATTAAAATTTTGTTTTAATTTAGACTATCATTTTTCAATATTTTCTTTTTGATTCCTTTTTTTTTTCAATAAAATATTGAATCTCCAAAAATCTTGAATAAAATTTTCGAGTTCTGAATCACTATATACCAGTTATATATACCAGTTTATATAATAACTAATAAATAGTGTATTTAATATTACGGATGAGTGGAACATGTATTGCTACACAGTAATTAGAAACAAAGCGAACGCTTGGTAAGCGTAGGCGATAGGAATCGTACACGAGCCAAGAAAGAGAGAAAAGGAACATGGTCTGTGCGTGAATATTCAAGCTCCGCTATGCTTCGCAGGATAGCGGTCACCTGCCGTACAGGTGCCCCCTACTCCTTCGCTACCTCGTAATTCAACCTTCAGGCCGATCCTTACCAGCAGTCACTTCCAGGTGTTGAACAGAGAGCGTTACCCGATTTCCGCTTTATCTCCACTTTACCCCTCATCTTTATCTCTATTGCTTCATCTAGTTTCCTTGTCAGACTCTTCACGTTTTTTCACTTTACCTTTCCTGTTGAAAAGAACACCGGAACTATCTATTATTCGTTTTCCAAAATTACGTGAAATAAAAAGAAATTTATGTATGAGTGTAATTGAAAGAGAATGTCTTGATACATCATTCGTTGGATATATTGTTCAAAAGCTATCATCGATTATCTTCATGTTATTTAGAATATAAAAATGTAAGTAAATTTTAATAGATTGTTAATTGATTATTTTATCTAGGAACTATTGTGTAACATAGATCATGTTAGTAAAAAAAAATGTTTAAATTTAAATAAATTTATTTTGTATGTAGTTTTTTTATATAGTTATATAAAATTTGATGTACAGATTAAATCATCCTAAAATCAATATTTATTAATAATGAAATAAAAATTAGAAATTAAGAAATGAAGGATTATTTTTTTGTTTTATAAAATATCTTATAGATTAATATTAAATAACTTATTATAAAAATGCGATATAATTGATTATAGCATTAGTTATAACCTATACATAACCTATTGCATTCAACTAATGAAAGTAATTTAACTATTATAGATTGAATTTCTTCTATAAAAAATAATTGTACAATCTAATATCATTAATATTAGATTGAAATGTGCATGTTTAGAATTATTTGAAGAATTAATTGAAGAATTATTTACGATTAACTTTAATTTCGAATATTAAATTTCATTAACCTTAAAGTATTGAAAATTATGTTGTAGGTAAAGATATAAAAATTATTAAAAATGTGAAAAATTAATATATATTGATAAGTTAATTGATTTGTAAATTCTCGATATCGAGAAATGTAACTTATATAAAATATAATATATAATAAAAAATAATATAAATAATATAAAAAAAGTGCATTTATTTTGCTTTGGTGGTTCTCAATTTTTAATTTTATTAAATAATATAATAGAATAAAAGTATAAAAACAAAAACGATATAAGATTTCAAACAAGATAAATTTTGAAAAAATAATAAAATATATATGTTTCAAATGAAGAAATACGAATGTACAGGAACCAACAAATTTCTTTGACCGACACCATACGGGAAACATCTGTTGATACAAAGTTACATTTTCAAAGAATATTCCTGAATGTTCATTGAGAGAATAATGCCATATTTTCTGCGGTTTGTTCTGATACCTCAACTTAATTTTTATAACTGTAAATTTCTAAAAGGATTATAGGAATTGCAAGAACTAAGATGTTTGAAATAAAAATTTTTTTATATAGTTTTTCATAATTTTATTATTTAAATTTAATATAGCTTTTTAAGATTTTTTTAATATCTCATTTATTTAATCATTTATTATACTCATAATAAATCTAGGGTCAAAAGCATAACGAAACATTAAATATTAGATTAAAATTATAATTTATTTAAGATAATTTAACCTAACTTAATATAATTTTTACAAGTAAAAACATATATAAGAATTCTTAATGTTATTCAATTCAATCAATAAACAAAATAAAAATTATGAAAATTGCAATGTCTCAAATAATTCACAGAAAAAAAGATGTCAATTACGCAAGGGTTACAGAAATACAAACTTGTTATAATATAGTTATCTTGCACGGTTTCGTAATTCTGCAGTCTGGCACGTGGTTCGGCCAAAGAAAACTGTATTGGACTCGCGTGTCGTATTTACATCCGCGTACCTTGCCTCGCCTTATTCGCAACATTAATAACCGGCGTATTTGCATCATAAATATGGACCGTATGCACAGACAATGACAATTTGCAGTGCGATATGAAATCGAGTTGCATATGCACGATATCTTCTTTTGCACAGCTCGAGAAATGGCTTCGATGAAGGAACAAGAGCTATATTTGTAAAACATTTTTTTTTAGAAAATAGGACATTATTTAATTGTTTGATTATTGTTTCTTTTATCATTCGATATGTTGTTTGATGATGTAAAATTTAATCCTATATTTTATGATGATAATTGTAGATCTATATTCTTATTTGTACATTATCATAAGTTATTGATTAGTAATATATAAAAGTATATCTAATTAAATTTTATAGATTAATGGAAAATTAATTAGTAGAAATAATATTTATTATTTATATATTATATATTATTATTTAATTTTTTAATTGTGAATAAATTATAAATTTTTATCATTTATTAATTATAATCATCATATTTTTCTATTTAAAATAAATGAGAAATTTGAAAATTTTTCTTTTAATTTATATTTCTCTTAATAATAATAAAAAAAGAAAATTTTTCATATTATATACATTAATATACATACATTAATATATAAATTTACAACAATTTAATATATAAATTTTCTAATTAAAAATATTAAACAATAATACGATCTAGATATTTAAAAAAAACAATTATTTGTAATAATAATTTTCTCTTATTAGGCGTCATATCAAGATAAAATAAAAAATTAAACTCAAAATAAAAATGCAGTATGTAAAATTGGTTTTGGACCAATTTTTAAAATTAGGGCTTATATTATATGTTATAATCAATAGCAAAAAAAATATGGACATATCAATACTAGAAAATTTATCTTACTACATCTACAACTGAATATCAAATCGTAATTTTTTATGCTTTCAAGTACGTTGATCGTAGCCACGAAGAGTCATCGACTGCTAAAAATCAGAAATGATAAAAGAGGATTATGAATCCTCTGGCAGTCTACTAATACTATCGAAAAAAAAAAGTAATTCGATCAGATTATCATGATTATCTTAAAAATACATTCCAACATATTTAATCAAATGACATTTTTTTATTTTCCTTTTTTTATTTTTTTTTCTTTCTTTATCATATAATTCATGAAAAAAGTTTTTAAAAAATAGAATGAAATTTTAAAATAGAATACTATTTCAAATATTCAGATATTCTGTTCTGTATTAAAATTTTATATATTTTAAAAAACTTTTCATTCTTATCAAAAAATTTTTAAAACTGTATCATAGTTGATCCATTTACTATTATCAATTTATATTATTTCAGTTTTAAAATTCTAATTTTTCAAATTTTAAATTTTTTTACTAAATATATATTTATTTTGCCTCGTCATTTATATTTAAAAATCATTTCTAATTAATTTTTTTTCATGATATATTTACAAATTTGATTTTTTCTAATCGATTATTCGAAAAATCATTTATGAACGAATTATTTCACAATTAATTCTATTAGAAATTATTGAATATTATGAAGTTTTTTTAAGTGATACTTCTCATTCTCAATATATTCTATAATCTTATAGAATTATAGATATATAATTGATATAATTTCTTAATTTCCAATATCATTAAACTAATTCAAAGAATTCTGTAATCGAAATCACGATCGAAAGCAGTATATGACTGACCTGATTCACCGATTCGATCATGGACAGGCATAACGCAAAAGGAAAGTATGCGCGAATAGCGGTGTCTCTTTAATGGGGACCAAATTTGATCTGCGACACTTTCTTCGATTCGCATCTGCAGTTAATAATTCTTCTGAGAATCACCTGGATACGCTTTCCTGATACACCGGACGCATGAAAATTTATGCAGTTGCGTGACACTCCCATGAAATTTACTCGTTCCATTTTTTTTTTTTTTTATATTTTATTATGGCATCTAATAAAAGAAAATTGAATTTAAAATAAATAAAAATATAATATACTATATTTGATTCTATCTAATATTATATTAGAGTATCCCAAAAGTTATTTTCTTAAGAATATATCAATAAGATTTTGATAAATTATTTAATATATATAAAATTATATATAAAATTTTATAAATAATAATAAAAATTTAGAAGCATCATTCATTTCGATCATTATTCTTTTCTCTGAGAAAAATATAAAAGATAATAATAAAATAAAAAGAATTTTTGGGATAAACTAATGTAATGAAGAAAATTGATTTTAGATTTAAAAATTTTCATTTCGAAATTAATGTAAGTATATTTAAAGCATGCAAGAAAATTTTTTTATTTTATTACAAACCGTGTATCTCATTACTATCTCCTTGAATCTTACTTGATCATGAAATTTCTAAAGCTTCTGTTCAACGAGTATATAATTTTTAAAAAATTTTCGTGGAATTTCTCGATCTAAAACAAAAATTCAGAAACAAGTTAAAAAAGTAACAGGAGAAGCTCTCATCTTGGAATGAAAAAATAATCAGAAAAAACCAAACTAACTCACAGTCACGAAACGACAAACGGTAGCGATGATGATAGGCGGGCTACTATTTAATTACGAGTCTCTTAAATCAAGAAATCTTATCCGGTGAACGACAAGGGAGCAATTTCTTCGTAGAAAAGAGAACATTCGCTCCCTCCCTAATCACGATCCTTCTACCATCGGGTCGCAATTAAAACGGAACGATCGGGACGCCGTTCAAATTACGGAAAACATAATAGATTTTGATAACAAGCTTGCACCCAGCCGTTCTCGCAGATTTATATGTCTCGAGGCAATCGATTGTCGATGATCGAGGCGCGTGATCCTTAATAATCGTCGATAATAGACCGCGTAAGACGATAATTAGATATAGAATAACCGTGGCTAAGTATACACTCGGGGTTATACCTGTTCGTTTTTTCCCTTCATTCGCCTTGTCGCTTTAGCGGTTTCTTTGCATACGCGTGGGGATGAAACGCGGATAGGGAGAAAAGAGAGAAGCTCATCGACGGTGGCCCTGCCGTTTAATTAGTTTCCTTAACGACGCGAAAGTACAGAGAGTCGATGCTTCTGACCGTGTCTCGGAACCGTTTAAATCAAGGGAACTTATCAGGCCACGGCTGCGTTTACTGGCGGGCATTTAGCTTAAATTAGCCGCGGCTCGCTCGCGCCTCAGGATAAATCGACGAAATCATACACCTCGGCACATTCAATTACGGGACCAGTCCATCCTCCTTCTTTCTTTTTTCCTCAGCTCCTCTATAACCGCCTCCCCTTCTCGTAATACGCGTGGCTTCGACTACTGTGATCCAACCTTCTGAAATACTTTGTCGATCGAGATGATCGCATTTATTTTTTTTTTTTTTTTCAAAGTATTCTTTCTTTCATTTTGTTTTGATTAATTCGTTTTTGATCTTGTTCTTTAAAATCATTATATTCAATCTATAAAAAATTAATTAATATACAATTTTTGACACTATCATGTGTAATTAAATGCTTATATCTGACCCAAGATTTTATGGATATCTTTTCGTTCTTTGATGATTGTATGTACGATATGTAGCAATAAAAGATAATTAAACTTCTATCAATTATTTAGATTAAAAATATATTAAGATGTTAATAGATATTCTATATATATAGAATATATATGATGTAATTTTTTGTCATGAAATATATTTCAAATTATAATTAAATGAAGTATCAGAAATAATATTCCATTAAATATTTGATTCTATTAATATATAATTGATATATAATTAATGATAATTGATGATAATATATAATTGACATTATATTTAAATCAAATATTCTGCACACTATTTCACACTTATTTTTTAATGTTTTTTTTAAAGCAAATAATTTAGTTTTATTGTTTTTATTTTAGAATACTTTATTAATATTAATCATATAATAAACGAAAAAAGATAGACATTATCTTGGATCCCTTTTTTAAATTTCATTTAAAGAATTAATAATAAATATTAATAATAATAAATATTAATCACATCAAAATAACCGAATCAATTCAATCGAAATTTAATCTAATAAAAGTATGTAAAATAAAAAGTAATTAAAATCATCGTTACCAGAACTACCGAAGATTTCTTCGACCCATAAAATCAGAAAAAATGTACAAAATAAAACTCGTTCTGGACGAGAAACACGGTCGTTCATATTAAAAAGTAGACGAATAACTGGCAGGAATCTGGAAAAAAAAAGAAAGAAAGAGGAAAAAACATGTTTGTGAATTTTATAACGGTGAAGCTTAAAAGTATTTTAGTTTGGTGGTCGTTCGAGCGAGTCTCATATCTTCGAACCATCTGATGCTTTACGGTGTTGCACAGAGATTTAAAGGGGCGGGTCATTTTTGGCCGCTTGTTCAGGAAGCATCCCGAGGAACAGCTGATTCTTTCGTAAATGCTGACCCCACTACATTCGTTTTATAAAGAACTTATACTCCTCCACTTTAACAAAAATTCGATTCAGGAAAGAATCTCTCGAAGATATGACACGTGCTTCGAATTAAATAAATTTCTAAAATATGCTTTTTATCTATTATTTTTGAAAGAAAAAAATTATCTAATAAATTAATTATTTTTATTATTAGTGAATCAGTTAAAATTTACTTATCATAGATTTGAAGAATTTTTAAAAGATATACACAAAGATATATTATATGATATACATATTTTTTCTTTTAACGTTTCAAATATTTTATATATAATTATATAATTTTTATTAAATAAAAAACAAAAATTTTTTTTATCATTTAAAATATATTAAATAATCATATTAAATAAAAAAAAAGAATTTAAAATTAATCTTAAAATTGTACAAATCAAAGAAATTATTAAAAAAATGTTCAATTTTTAATAAAAATGTGTACATCAAATGTGTGAAAATAAAAAATTACAAAAAAAAATATGAAAAATGAAATAAATAAATAAATCTGTAAGGATATAATTATGATAATATCATTCATTCAATGCTTAAAATAAATATTAAAATCTTATCATCAACAAATGAATTCAAGCAAAATGAATATCGATCGAAGCCAATCATTTTGGCGGCGTTTGTCTTGAACATAATTAAAGAGAGAGAAAACAGTGGTAAAGGGTTTCGATGCAATTCTTAGAGTGAAATTACACCCTTGTTATCCGTTTACAATTGAATGTTCAAGAGTATATAATCGTTCGGGTGTAAAAATAGAAGGCACTTCAGGGTTAAGCGAAGGGTGTAAAAATACGACTCGTCTTCCATCGGCTGTTGGATCAGTTCAAGGGATCCTCGGGCAATGAATGAAGTCGTAAAAGTCCCTTGCTTGTTTTCGTGAATGGAGTCGTGCAAAATTACAGATACGAACCTGTTATATTTTACGAGTATACAAATGGAGTATACATTTTCGACTTTTTTAAATTCAATTCTTTTGATTATATAGTACAAATTTTCCTTAATGAAATTGTCAAGTCTAATATAATTCAATCAGAATTAATAATATATCTCATTCATATTTGTAAAGAAACTTGCTTTAGAACTTGCTGCATAAAATCTGTAAATCTTTTATAGAAATTTATTTAATAAATATAAGTATCATAAAATTCATTATATATACAATAAAGTTTTATAATCTTTTTAAATACTGAGTATTCAATAAAAAAAGAGTATTCAATAAAAATATATACTTACATAAAACTTTTTGTCTTGAAATATATTATTAGATCAGAAAGAAATGACATCGAAGCGTAACATAATTTTTCTTCGAGGTTATGTATGCATAGGATCTGACTGATATCGGAACATATGCATTCAGGTCGATATATGCACAACAAACAGATCTCAATCTGTTGGCCCTGAAACGGTAAAGGAAAACCTCTCATTAGAGATCGAGACAGCGAATGGTAGCATCTCATTAATGAACTCTCGATCGAAATGGCACGGATATCTGTTCTCGTGCCTGGAAAAGAAGCTGAATGGTCAGGTGCAACTTGAAAGCGCATGCATGCAGTTGGCTATACGTAATCTGCTTCCGTCTTCGTTTTTCTGGTATACTTACACGTTTCAATCCGATTTTTTTTTATTGCCGTTCTTTTTTCCACAATTTCTTCTTATCATGATCATATCTTTAGGGAAAGCTCTCAGTTGCTCTTCATTTTTGGCCTCCTCATCAATCGATGTTTCAAAACGAGAATTTTAATGCTATATTTCTTTTTTCGGCTTTATACTCATTTATCGTTTTGATATTTGATTGCATATACGTGATTTAGATGATTTGATTCATATTGTTACGTTTTGATTTTTAATTAAGCTATTTTTATAGATTAGCAATTTTTCTATTATTTAATGAAATAATTTATTTTGATAACCTATATTTTAATGATATATATATTGTAGGATATTCTAATCATCTAGCTAATATTTTTCTTATAAATGATACAAAGAAAGTATACTTATAAAGTATATTTATAAAGTATACAAAGAAAATAGAAAAATAAATAAAATAAAAATATTGTTTTATGATTAAATTTTTTAATAAACCTAATACAATCGCTATGACATGAAATTCAAATTTGAAGTAAAAAAAAAAAGAAAAGAAACAATTTGATGAAAAAATACCAAAAATAAGGTTATATGAATTGAATGAAGCATTGAAATTTGTTTCTCGTTACATGTCATTCTTTATCGCTTCTATTTTATATAATTCTTTCAATATTGAAAAATATACATAAAAAATTATTTGTGAATGCAAAGATGTTAGAATTTGTCTTTTGTTCAATCTTTTGGTACAGTATGAAGTAAAGTGGTTTAAATAAGATTAAATTTAAAGAATTAAATCACATTATTGGCTAAATATATTCAGTCAACTTCTCACTCAAGATTCATCTTTTCTCGTTTCAAATGAATATCGATCACGAAAATCTGTCACAAAAACCGCAATGCAATTAATTCACTTTTTGATCGATAACAACGGTTAGAGACAATACGATATATGTTATACGCAGACGCAATCGATTAAAAAAAATTTCCGCAAGAATCCGAATGTCGAATGAAATGCAGGTTTATCACGATCGCGTCAATCAATGTAGCAGTGGTCAATGCGACATAATCAACGTAGATGCCGATACTCGGTTAATTGGAAGTGAAATCACTTAAGTAGACGTCTTCGTGAAACGATGCTTCGCGTTTTCGGCCCGTATAATCGCGTGGAATGGCAAATGATAGCTGGCGTGGTCTGTCGCTCGTTCGCAACGCTCGTTTGTAACACGCCGTCCAATTTCCATAATTTTGAGCCATGTTGCTTGATACGATATTCATTCGAGTGTACAGTTACTTCGATATTTCGATATAGAACACCGAAGATATTTTTGTATTCGTTATTCAAAAATACAGGGTACAACTGTTATAATCAAAATTGATTTGATTTAATCATTATCCATGATGAAAAACTTGATTACCAATATTATAGATGATTGAAATTATTTTAGGTTAAGAATAACAATTATCAGTAATAAAAACTTGTTTCAATAACTTTTAAAAATTAATATAAAAATAGGTAATTATTTTAGGTTAAGATTACATATATATATAATTATTATCAATGGCGAAAAATTTATACTTACCTTTGATAATCATATATTGATTGAAAGTTTAAGGAAGATAGTAAAATTCTATGAGCTTTTATCGTTTTGTAACATTCAATCATTTCTAGAAAAATTAAAATCCGAGTTTCTTAAATAGATTAACATAGATCACATAAACAGTCAACTAGCATTTTTAAAAAAAATAATCTTCTTCAAGTTACATTTACATCTCGATATTAAAAAAAATTAGCAATATATAAATGAAATATTTAAACTATCATTTTGAAACTATGTATATAATTTCGATTACCAAATCAGGAATTAAGACAATCATATGTTAATGTGCGAACAAGTGTAGAGACACCGTACAGTATAATTTTCTCGTGCGATTTACAACGAAAATTACACACCCTAGTGGTCGTTTCTGAAAATAATTGCGAATCTATAATGTTTCACAAGAGGGCGCCAAAAATGAGACACAATGTCGTTACGTAAACGAAAGGAAACGCGGCAGGCGAAGAAAAGCCACACCAACTTTCGACAATTGACCAAGCTTATTATCTGTCTGAATTCAAGAACCATCGTATCCAATTAAGACATACGAAATGTGGCCATAATGACGCTTCCTTTAAGGAAAATACAGGCCAATTCGCGCGAATGAAAAACTGGTCCTTATTATATTATAACCGGTAAAACGAACACTACCTCGAATGAAAGGTTAACAATTCCCGCGCTACGATATCAAAGAGATGTGAACCAGTGTATATATCATTATGAAGAAATTGCAACAAACTATAGTGATATACGAAGTGTAGTGATATTTCGAAGATATTTTAACTTAACATCACAAGCTTGAGTCTTATTTAACATCAATTCACTGATCCATAATATATAGGTAAGTATCTAACTAATATATTATTCATAGATTCAAATTAAAATATATATATTATAATTATATATATATATTAATATAATAATATATATTATAATTATATCTAATCTAAAATAAATATCTACATATTGAATGTGAAACATTCTCACTTTACACAAGAAATATATTTTATATATATATGAATATATTTTTTATTTAATGAAATTATTGAAAATTATTTGAAAAAAATTAAATTGATATAATTTCATTAATATATATTATTTGTTGTACATTTTATATTTATCTGTTAAAAAGTTGCCAAAGAATAATTTTTATAATTCCTATAATTTTGCAATAAAATTAATTTTAAATTAAATTTATTTTTAAAGATTATTTTAAAAACATAAAATTTATGATTTATTAAAATTCATTAAAAAATTAAAAATAGTTGATAAAATAATGAATTATTATTATCATTGTTAATAATTATACATTTGTGATATTAATTTTCAAAAAAATATATTTTTAATCAAATATCTTTCTTGCATAATAATTTATTGATTAAAATATTGAGAAACACATTTTCTTTAGTTTAATTGTAATATTTCAAGCTAATATTCTAATATTCTGATATTTCTAATATTCAAAACAATAAAGTTTTATAGTTTCCTTTTGCGTCTTCAATATTATAATAGATTTTAGATTTCATTTATTTATTTATTTATAAAAAGATGAAATTATCTTAAATCACAAATTATCTCTATCTATATCTATATTTAACATAAATAGAGATATACAAAAATATATTTTAATTGTTACATTTTAATTCTGCATTTTTGCTTTCTTATTTGGTGAATATTCAACATGTTCTTTCGTAACTGAAACTTCATTTGGATTAAACTTCGTCTTTCAATTAAAATGGAATGGGCCATGTCTCTATCCAGCGCACGTGCACACTCACCTGATTAAGCACTCGAAATCATCGAAGCGGATCTTCAATATCAGTACAGTTGGCAAAATCAACGCGAATGCCCGACTTTATACGCAGTTGATGAACTTCGCTGTGTCCGTTTTTTTCGAAGCAATTACGCAGTTTGGGCGTCATGAAATATCATAACGGAGGTTAATGGTGATTTATAGAGAAATCGTGGATATTACAGTGAAAAATAAAGACAAAATGATTAATGGAAAGTATTTATTGAGAAAAATATTTCTTTAAAAAAATTTTATAGAAATTGAAAATATTTTTGATTTTGTTGAATACATAATTCCGTTCTTAATGTTAAATTTTTTAATGAGAAATTAAATATCTTTTATTATGAAATAAAATTTATCATGGATAGATATTATTTTATCATATATTTTCTAATATATAATACTATAAACATGAACATAAATGAAGATAATGATCTACCAAAGTTTTTTTGTTATCTGATCTTTCTAGCAAAAGAAATATATTAGGTATCTGGTTTTATCTTAATTTACCTTAAATATTTAATTACCTGAGAATAAAATTTGGCATTCGAATTTCATTCCATGTTTTCAATTTATTCTTTCATGTCTTTTTTAATTATATTCTTTATTCTAACAAATTTTATAACTATTACAAGATATAAAAAGTTACTTGAATCATTTCTTTATTCGAAATTTTCCCAATCAATATAGCAAAGAAGACTGATTCCTTTGTAAGAACAAACAAAATAATCTGCCAATTAACGAAAAATCGGTTTTTTAGTAAGCCAATCGTTCTCGAATGAAAGAAAGTTTCCAATACAGACAGTGAGTAAACGGTTTCGGTCGAATCGGCAGATTCGACCGTTATGTGGATGCTTCCACTTCCACATATTAAGTGGAAACATACACAGGCAGGAGACAAAACACCCATGTGTTTTCGGGCTGCTCTGCTTGCCAGATGACACCGGCCATTCGAAGATCCAACGTTGGCACACTGCCCCCGACATTTACACGCGCACACGAGCACACGCGTGCGACATACGGGCCCTGGAAAAAGGCCCACCTTCTCTTAAAACCTCCTCCTTCTTCTCCACTCTGGCGTGTGCCCATCGCGTGCCTTCTAAATCGCCCTTTCTGTGATCTCCTTCTTCCGGGATTTTCCGACTTTTTGCCTTTATCTTTTTGTCTTTAATATCCATTTGTAATTTTTTTTGTTTTCTAATTTTTTATTGTTGTAGGATTTTTTTTATTTATTTTTTTTTGTTTGTGATTTTATCATTAGTATCAATCTTGAGCATTTTTAGATTCTCTATATTAAATTTAAAATTACAGTATTTGATATTATTTTCTCTCCTATTTTCATTTGTTAAGTATAGTGTAATATTAGGCTGTGAAAAAAATAATCAGATTTAAAAAAAAACTAAAGAATTCTAATTCAATTTAATGATTACAGTTAATTTTGATTAAAACATTAGCAAAGAGAATAATGATAATAATTATATTATATGATCCATTTTATTATTAAAATTCATTTTTTTGTTATCTGTTCAAATATTTCTATTTTGAAATGAATTCTATTATGAACCAACATATCATTTTATAAATCAATAAATACATATTTATATTATTATATGAATGAATAATCTAATGAAAATGATTTTTTTCACAATGAATGTACCAATTACAATCTAAACATATTCTCTAAAAAATCAAAATCTTAGATATCCAATTTCATAAGTGACTATTTAAGAATTCGACTAGAGTCTTGAACAATTCGAGTGGAAAGCACTTAACACGACAACAGCAGCTGGTTTAAGTCGGTGTCACGGTACGGACACCTAGTTCATCGGCGCGAGGCGAAGGGCTGACACGTGTGTGTGGTGCTCGTTCATCCCCTGCAGGGTGATTAAATGAAGCACCA